TCTTTTTAAAGAAAATGCATATTCTTCAACTTACGTTTAAACTTTTAACGATATTTGGTTGCTGGCGACCAAATTCCTGGTCATCGCTACATAAACGCATAGTGTACCATATATATTCAATCATAATGATTTTATTATTAAATACCTTTTTATTGTCGCAATTTATGGATTTAATCATGACCGTGGAAAATGCTGATGATTTTTCTGATAATTTCTTTGTATTGCTTGCTATGTTAATTTCCTGTTGTAAATTGTTTAGTATGCTAGCAAATCGCAAAAATATTATCAAGTTTACTAATATACTAACCGAGAAACCATGTAAACCATTGAAATCAAATGAAATAAAAATCCTGTCTAAATTTGACAAACACATAGAGTAAGTACAAAAAACAATAATCATAATGCACTACTTACTAAAATAATATTAAATTATAAAAATTCATCGAAAGTTTTGTTCAATTTTATTTTTATTTAATATTAATTTTATATTTTAATTTTAAAATGTAATTATTATAATACATTTTTTAAGGTTTAAATAAATTTAATATCTTTTATGTTATATTTTAAACATATTTAAATAAATTTTTTTAATCATAGCATAACTATTTATTTACGTTAATTAGATCATTTAGTTTTTTTATGACACAGTTTTATTTTAAAATGCGGAAAGTTTAGTCTCGTTTTACAATTTTGAAAAAAATGCTACGTTAAATTTTTTTTATATAGGGAATTTACAGAAACATACAAAAACATAAAAAAATATGTATACATCTGCAGTTATTTTACAGGACCAATACTTGGCGCTTTGTATATCTTGTAATAGTAACATTCTCATTCATCGTGTTGACATCTCTATCTTTAAACTTCAGAAAAAGGAAATTAACGTACAGAGCATGGTTGCCGTTTAATTACTCATCAACGACAATGTTTTATCTGACATACAGTCACCAATTGTTAAGTTTGTTTGCCGGAGGTTTCCTAAATGTTGGTTGCGATACTCTTATTTGTGGATTATTGGTACATATTTCCTGTCAGATTGAAATCTTAGCTTATCGTTTGAGAGAAATTATGTCTTCTAAAAATATCTTACCCGACTGCGTGAGACAACATTATAATATTTTCAAGTTGGTCTGATATTGAATAATAAATTTTGCAAATTTTCTTATTTTTTGTTTAATGTGCATACAAATATGTACGTTAATTATTTTAATATATTAATGTTTGTTTATCACATTTATATTAATAAAATATGTTTTTAACAAAATTATTATATATTTTAGGCTTGCTTTTATTATAAATGCAACATTTAGATTAATTATTAGCATACAATTTATGATAAGTATGTTAATAGTATGCTTCAGTCTTTATCAATTAACTAAAACAACAGTGAAAGCCAAGTTTATAGAACTGACATTATATATGATTTGTATGTTAACACAAATCTTTTTGTATTGTTGGTATGGAAACGAAGTAAAGCTAAAGGTACAGAACTTATTTTTACTTTTATAATAGTATATCTTAATAATATTTACTTTAAAAAATATATTAATAACAAAGATGATAATGCACTTATTTTTTTTTGTATAAATAAAGTTGTTGACACATACATTACATTTTATGCAATTCAGTAGAGTCGTCAACTGGTCGATGACATTTTCGAAATGGAATGGCTATCACTGGACAAAAGTAAAAAAAAGTCTCTAATGATAATAATGAAACGAGCAATCGTGCCTATTCAAATTACCAGTGCTTATATTATTCCCATAAACCTTGATTCATTTATGGGTGTTTGTATAATTTCTGCTTTCTAGATATTTGCTATTAAATATATTTGAATTGTAATCATAAATATTTATAAATTATTTCCAGTTACTCAAAACCTCGTACTCTACTTATAATTAACTTCAAAAAAATAGCGGGAATAATAATATAGATCAAATCAACGTGCTATTTACATCACGAGATGAAATCAGGGAAAAGTGTGAAAGAAAAAAGATGTCAAACATTTTATACATTTAATATTGATAATTAGTACTCGTGTCACGTAGTATTATTAGAAAAATAAAGAAAAATTATCCAAGCGGCATTATTTATTTTATAATATATATAAATATTCTTTTATTTGGGATATTTAAAAAAAATTTTTGGACATTGTTTGGAACGTCGACAATGCCGAAGATTTCATTGAAAATTTTTACGCCATTCTGGCATTTTATAATTTTATATCTATTTATATCTTACATCTTGTACTTCCTTGGCAATCCTGCCTTCCTTAGCGTGTTTCGTTATTGAATTATGCCCAAAATATTTTATAGTTTTATTACAGATCTGAAATTGGTACAGAGAAGTATATGCAGACTGACTATTTCATACGGAGTATTAAGAATAAAAAAATATATTTTTTTAAGGCAAAGAAAAAATATGAGTTACCTGCATTAAGATTTCATGAAGGGAAAGTAAAGTAGTCGGTGACATAATAATATACCCACATTCCTTAGTTTTTTATTTCTTCCTCAAATCATATTTGTATTAAAAGATATCATCTCTGAAATGTCAGCGTATAATAGTCAGTTTTTTAGAGAGCTATAATATTCTACGATAAAAGTGTATCTATAGGATCAATGATGCAGATCCGACATTATGATAATAACATAGTATAGACGAAAGAATATTAGCGAGAAAAAAAATTGAAGGAAATTGAATTACCAACGTTCTACGATTGTCAGTCGTTTTACGATTGTCAGTCGTTTGTTAATCGTCTTGTTCGTCAGTTATTATTTTCAGCTAAATTTCAAATACATATTTATCTTTAGCAATATTACAATAAATAAAATGTTGTAAAATATTTTATGTGACATTTCACAAATAGTTCAACTATCTTCTATAATTGATTGCAAACAATGTGTGTGAAAATTTAGCTGAAATTGTAGGTATAAAAATTATAAATTAAAAATTTGGAGAATTGTGACAAAATATAATTACGTAAAAGACAATTTTAAATACAAAAATTTTAAATATTGTGCATTTATTTATAATGTGATTGATTAATATTGTTTAGTACAGCTATTTATTAATTAATTATTGTAATAATATTTGTTGTAATTAATATGTATATTTAATTATATTTAATTAAATTTAGCATGCTTAAAAAAGTCGTACAAAGTCGAAAAAAATGCAAGTTCTGCAATTTACTTTTAAACTTTTGATAATCGTCGGTTGTTGGCGACCAAAATCATGTTCGTCATTGTATATGCGCATAGTTTATGATGCATACACGATTTTTATGATATTATTGCTATATACATTTTTGGTGTCGCAATTTCTGGACATTATTTGGAACGTTGACAATGCCGAAGATTTTACTGAAAATTTTTACGCCACGCTGGCGTCGGTTGTTTCATGCTCTAAAATGTTTAGTTTGTTAGTAAATCGAAATAACATTAATATGTTAACTAACAAACTCATAAAAGACCCGTACAAACCATTGGAGATCGACGAAATAAATATTCGATATAAATTCGATAGGCTTATACAGTAAGTATTATTACACCATGAATGAAGTGAGACTTATAACTACAATATAAGTACTAATGTGTAATACAGTTTTAGTTTATCTTTTTAATTAAAATAATACATCTAATATAAATATTGCAAAAAATATATACGTTTTATATAATAAAACAAAAAATTTTTTTACGAAACATATTATAAGAAATTAGTGCAAACAAACTTTTCTACATCTCATTAAATACAAAAAACCCAAATATTCAAATGAGCGTAACAGTCGTTTTGCAGCACCAACACGCTCTGTTATACGATTTTGGTGGAATCAACTTGTATATGCATTACTATGACATCTTTGCTCATGGAGTTCAGAAAAGGACATCTGACGTATAGAGCGTGGATACCGTATAACTACCATTCGTCCACCATTATATTTTGTCTCACGTATGCTCATCAACTTATTAGCCTGACAGCTGGATCGCTGGTCAATGTAGCCTGTGACAGCCTTATTTGTGGATTACTAGTGCACATTTGCTGCCAATTTGAGATCCTAGAATACCGACTGAACAAAATATCGAAAGATTCTGAGGTTCTTCGCGACTGTGTACGTCACCACGACAGTATATTTGAGTTAGTTATTTTATTTTACCATTCAAAAAAAACAATATCTTGCATTTTATTAAAAGAAGAACGTATTAATCTTTTTTTTTTTAAACTTTTTTCTTATACTTTCACACTTTGTTCTGATTTGAAACATTTTACCGCATTTAAATTATGTTTTAATTAAAATTATTTTTATTATGAAAAAATATATTTATTAAAAACATTATTGTTATTTAATATTTAATATTTTATAATAGATATGCAATCAAGTTAAATGACAAGTTTAAAATGACTATTGCAATGCAGTTTATGGTCAGTACGATGGTCGTATGCTCAAATTTATATCAGATGACTAAATCAACGTCGTTAAATGCAAGCATTCTTCCTTTACTGCTATATATGTCCTGTATGCTGACACAGATTTTCATTTATTGTTGGTATGGAAATGAAGTAAAATTAAAGGTGCGCGTAATTAAGTTGTTCCGCGCGTCAAAATTACAGAAAATATTAAAAAACTTATACTAAGAAATTTTATAATGCAATACATTGTTTTAATTAAGTTGAGTACAACTGAGAGATTAATAAAAATTTTTACATTTTGAAATACAGAGCATTCAACTGCTTGACAATATTTTTAGAATGGATTGGGTATCATTGGATAAAAACCATAAAGAAAGTCTATTAATAATTATGAATCGTGCAGCGGTACCAATAGAATTTACCAGTGCATATGTTCTTTCTATGAATCTTGATTCTTTTGTTGGGGTTAGTAAAAATTAATTTCTAGTTTTGTAATATGTTATTAGCTTAACTTGAAAATATATTTTTACTTTAATACAACGTATTTTGTTAAAATTGGATAATTTGTAAAGAAATTAATTTATAAATAATGTTAAAATACCAACAAATATAACTATTTATCATATGTTAGAAAAATAAAAGTTACAAGATAAGTGCATATATATGCTTGCATATATTTGTTGCAGTTACTTAAAACATCGTACTCGGCTTACAATATATTGAAACAAGTGTAAGAATCGTAACAGGAAAATAAAATAGAAACTAATTGCTACGATGTTTTCCAGTGCATTCTTGTTACTGATAATTATTAATATGTATCACAATTTTAGTATTGCGTATGTAGACAAATAAACAACAAACTTGCTGCTTGCTCTCTTATGTATCTTCTTTTATTATATAATCACATATTTAATTATTAAATTAATTAATTACGATAAATGCACTAAAAGCAGTTTTGCTTTACAAAAATTAATACGTAATTTATTTAGAATTAGTTTATGTATGTGCTTCAAAACTTAATAAATTAATTTAGAAAGAAAATACATCATTATATAAAAATATGCATTACTATTTGAACTTGCGAAACGCTCTGTTTATGTCGCCCTATTTGTGGGAACATCGCGAGAAAAAAAGAATATAGAGTTTTTAGGACATAACAATACACAATGCAAATGTATTTAAAAAACTCACCTTATTCTGCTTGTTAGAAACTGTTTAAATTCGATATAAAAAACACAATTGACTATAAGAATTTAAAATAAATAACAGAATTATAGCTAGCGATAGCGATAAATATTTACTGAGGAAGTAAATTGATGGTTTACTCTTTCGCATTAAGATTTTATAGAGATAAAATAGAAATCATGGTCTACTAACTTGCGACGACAATCCTGGATTTTTTTACATTTTTCCGCTATTACCTTAAATATTATTATATTATATGATTATCGCATATAATTTGCATTTGAAAATAGTTGTGTATGCTGTACCATGAAAGCGAGGAATGATGTTGCAAGTTTGGTAAGTATTGCGAGTAGGAAACGATATTATGATAATTATATAGCTGTAGAACGCGAAGGGGACGCTAGATGAGAAATGTTGTCGCGCAGAAAGTTATATCATGTGACTATAGACGTTCTAAGGTTCGTCGGAGTTTCGCGAAATAAATTTAGGGTGCGTTTGAGAAAAGAACAAGAAGTGTGCAAAGTTTCGTATTTTAAACGTCATTAAACTCGAAAAATTTGTACAATTAGAAAATTTTTAATTCCGACTTAAAGTCAGATTTTACAATAATATTATATATATTTATATATTATATATATATTTCTCTATATGTTTGAGAAATGTATTAGACATCAAATGAAATATCGTAATCGCTGAGTAATTAATACTTTTCAATGTGTATTTTATGAGGCTAATTTAACTTGCTAATAACTTAATAATATCATTGCTAAAAGGACTCATTAATCACATTATTGACATAAATAATAATAAACATAATTGTTCGATATAACGTTCTTCGTAGTGCTTTATTTGATTGAAAATAAAATTAAAAATTGAGAAAATGCAAGTTCTTGATTTTACATTAAAAATTCTTATGGTTGTGGGCTGCTGGCGACCAAAATCTTGGACGTCATTGTCTAAACGCACTGTATATAACGCGTATACGATTTTCATAGTTTTGCTGCTGTTCACATTTATGTTATCTCAACTTATGGATCTTGTGCTGAACGTCGATAATACCGACGATTTCACGGATACTTTTTATATCATGCTCGCCATGGTTATTTCTTGCTGTAAAATGACCGGTCTCTTGATAAACCGCAAGAATATAGGAACATTCACCAGTATTCTTACTCAGAAACCATTTATTCCACTGGAACCCGACGAAAAAAAGATTCGTTATAAATTCGACAAGACGATACAGTAAGTATCTAAACAATTACTTTTCCAAAAATAGCTAAAAATATACAAAAATTTCTTTGAGGATAATTAAATTATGCCGTTAAACGTTGTTGTGAAGAAAGATGTCCATAACGAACCGCATAGGCGTTTTGTAGGACCAATACTTTACGGTATACGATTTTGGTCGAGGCGACGTGTGCGTGCACCGCATTGATCTCATTGCTTACGGATTTTCGGAAAGGTAAATTAACATACAGGGAATGGACACCGTACAATTACTCGTCCAAAGTGGTGTTCAGCATCATATACGCTCGTCAGTTGATAAGCTCGACATTCGGCTCTATGGTAAACGTAGCCTGCGACAGTCTGATTTGCGGATTATTGTTGCACGTATGCTGCCAGTTGGAAATATTGGAGTACAGGCTCAATAAGATCTCGCTCGGGCAGAACAAACTGCGTGAATGTGTACGTCAGCACGCCCATATATTTAAGTTAGTCTCTTTAAACAATTTCGCAAATTAATAAAAAAAGCATATTTTAGATTAAAGTTATTTATTAGTGTCTTTTGAAATAATTTTGCATACGTGTATTGAGTGCTATTAATTTCTTTTTCTAAATATATTTTTTTGCAGGTTTGCATTCATGGTAAACGAAAAATTCAAGATAATTATTGCTATTCAATTTATCATAAGTACACTAGTCGTGTGTTCCAACTTATATCAATTGGCGAAGATAACGATAAGCGCACAATCTTTCCCATTGATATTATATGCGTTCGCCATGCTAACACAAATTCTTATTTATTGTTGGTATGGAAATGAAGTCAAATTAAAGGTGTGATTTCTGTGTGCATATTAATAAAAAGCTCTAACATACCGTATCTCGTATTTAATTAAATGCTTACGATACTAAACATAAAACTCTTAACAGTCTACTTAACAAATGTAATAAAAATCGAAAAAAAATTTACTGTAATTTTTTTTTGCAAAAACGTTATGTAAAATCTTAATTAACATGTGTTATATTTTTTAATCTAGAGCGTTCAACTTGCCGCTAATATCTTCAAAATGAAATGGCCGACACTAAATCAAAGTGTAAAAGCGAGTTTGTTAATAATTATGAATCGCTCTCTAGTACCCATTGAATTTTCCAGCGCGTACATTCTTACAATGAATCTCGATTCTTTCGTAAGCGTTAGTATAACAAGTGTTTATTGTCAATGTGTTGTCAGAAAAGATTCTTTATAAAATTTTCTTGAATCTGTTTGGATTATGACAGTATTTTATTATCGGCAATATTTATAATATTTTAAGAAAAAGCTTGTAATGTTTACATGATATTTACATTTTTGTTGCAGTTACTTAGGATATCATATTCGGCTTATACCTTATTACAACAAATGCAAGTAACATGATTCAAGCGGGAAGTAGTATAGAAACTAAGTAGCTACTATGTTTTCCAAAATTGCGCATAATTGCTTATTTAATATTAATTATTGTAAATTTAATCTGTAGGCATATAGCGATAGGCATTTAGTAAATAAATAAATAATAAATACATGTACATTTTACTTTTATTCGATATATAATCTGCGATCTTTAATTATTGTATAATTAGAATTTTTTGTGAAAATATAAATATTTTAGTAGTGCAATAATTAACAAAAGAAATCTTACCTAGACAACTGGCCAAGTCGTTATTTTCACAATATCTTTGTAAAATATAATTTTATATTACATTATAATTTAGGTATATAAATTTTTTTTAAGTTATAGATAAAACGCAATATGGTGCTTCGTTAGGTCAACGTCGACTGGATTTTCATTCCCGTATCCTTATTGTAATACATTTACTTTACCTATATATGTATATTTAATGAGTTCTTGAAACCGCAGCACCAGAATTACGAATAGATCGATATAAACAGCAGAATTAACGATGACAAGGCGGATACACGGGGTGGAACTGGCGACAGTAATAAATCCTATATTTTGTAAGCAAGTATCCGCAGTATTATCTGCATCAAGATTTCATGACGATATATTGTAATGCACGGTATGTCAACGATCGAAGATATTATAGGTTTTTTTCTTGCATTATTTCTCTTTATTTTGTCTTGATATCGTCGTATAAATTTCGCAAAAGAAATATGCATATTACTTCATAAAAGTATTATTACCAATTGGAGTACGTACATTAGAAATTCGATATTACTGTAATCATATGTCTACCGAGAGAATGCGAAGAAAAAAGCTAGGCAAACAGCATTGAGTACAGAAAGTTGTGTCACGTGGCTATAGACGTTGTAAGGTTCGTTAGGATTTCGTACAATTGCTTTAAAATATTGATGTGCAAGAAATTAACAAGAAATTGTTGCTGTTTTTTTTATACGAGTTTATTAATTTTCTTGACGCTCGTATTCTATATGTAAAAATAATTTAACAAACCAAAGAGAAATTAATGTGATTATTATAGTTTTATAGTATAATTTTTTAGATAATAATTTTATATAAATTAAACGTTTTAATTTTGTATCTTTTTAGAACTTTTCGTCATAATTATATTACTAAATTACATTGAAAGGCTTTGAAAAATGCAAGTTATGCAAGTTCCATTAAAAATTCTCACGGTGGCGGGATGCTGGCCACCAATTTCTTGGTCCCCGATGTGCAGACGAATAGTTTACAACACATATACAGTTTTTATAAGTTTATTGCTGTTCACCTTTATGCTGCCACAGCTGATGGATATCGTCTTGAATGTCGACAATCCCAATGATTTCACGGATACCTTCTACGTAATGCTGGCTATGGTTATTGCTTGCTGCAAGATGCTCAGTCTGCTACTAAATCGTAAGCACATCAAGATATTAACCGGTGCGTTGATCGAGAAACCATTTCGACCACTGGAACCAGATGAAATAAAAATTCGACAGAAATTTGACAACATAATACAGTAAGCAGATGGAACATACGTGTGTGTACTTAATTGACAGACATAACAAGTATAAAATTTAAAGTCTTTGACAAAAGTATAAATACATAAAAAATAAATGATGAATAATGAAGAACATTTTTATTATTTGAAAGAAGTGAGAAATATATTTCTTTTTTTTAAGGAAAATGCAAAGTAAAGTCATTATAAATTAGTTCAACCCTTATAGTTATTTTGCAGAATCAATACTATATGGTACATAATTTTGGTTGAGACAACGTGCGCGAGCATCACTCTGACGTCCTTGCTGACAGACTTCCGGAAAAGAAATTTAACATACAGAGAGTGGATGCCATACGGATACTCTTCCGATATAGTGTATTATATTATATACTTTCGGCAATTAATAAGCCTGACGACGGCATCCGTCGTGAACGTTGCATGCGACAGTGTGATCTGTGGATTATTGCTGCACATTTGCTGTCAAATCGAGATCTTGGAGTGTCGACTAAAGAAATCCTTGCGCGATCGAGTCGATCTGGGTGAATGTATACGTCTGCATGATCGCATCTATAAGTTAGTCTTTGTACGAAATTCTCTACACTTTAAATTTTTTAATCATTTTTTTTATCTGAAATGTAAAATATTTCAAATCTTAATTAGATTAATATGTTTTAAATAATCACATTATTATTCAGCAATATGCATTTTAAAATAAATATTCGAATTCAAAACTAATTAAAATTATTATGTATTATGTATTTTGAAATCAAGACGCACTAAAAACAAAATATTGCTGCAACAGCGTTTCTCTTTTGCAGATTTGCTTATATGATAAATGAAAAATTCAGATTTATAATTGTCGTTCAGTTTGCAGTAAGCACACTGGTGGTGTGCTCCAATCTGTATCGATTAGCGGAAACGACATTAAGTGCAAAATATATTCCACTTATATTATATACATGCTGTATGTTTACGCAAATTCTTATTTATTGTTGGTACGGAAACGAAGTAAAACTAAAGGTATTGATTAAATGAATAAATATCACACTTTGTAAATGTATATTTGGAAAAATGAAAAAAATATTCCTTTGACAACTTCTATTGCAGAGCGTTCAATTTGCTGATGAAGTTTTCGGAATGAACTGGGTGACAGAAAATAAAAAAGTGAAGGATAATTTGATAATGATTATGAATCGCTCTACGATGCCTATAGAATTTTCTAGTGCACATCTCAATCTGAATCTAGATTCTTTCGTAAAGGTAAGGAAATAAATTAATTTTTATAGCAATAAAATCAATTGTGTTTAAGAGTGTTATATAAAAATTTACATGTTCTCCAGTTGCTTAAAATATCATATTCAGCATACAGTATACTACAGCAGATGTAAAAAAACAATTTAAAAAAAAAAATAAAGGGAAATAACCAGTATTTGACATTCAACATATAGACGCGCTGTGCGTGTCAAAGAATATTGAGTAAGCGACCATTAAAGTAAAAAGAATATATATATATATATATGTGTGTGTTAATTTTATAAATAATACTTAATATATGAATAACTCGCAAATTAAAATTAGGCATAATGTATTTTAAAAAATCTGTAGTCTACCATGAGAATTTACAAAATTATAAATATAATAGTTACATTATATAGTTATATAAACCATAATATCTAGTTTTATATTATTCCAATATCACTTATATTATTATATTTCAAATATGTATATGTTATGTAGAGTTGAAAAGTGTTATATACTTATATATATGTATAGAAAAAGAAACAGACCGTTCTGATCCATTCTGATGTGAGTATTATTCCTATGCAATATGCGTCATATTATAGAAGCGAACAAATCGAAGATTATATACTTTGTTTTCCGCACTTAATTAAAAATATATATCAAAATACCGAGAAACAGACAGCGCATCAAGAAAAAGTATACCCATAGACAGTAATGAATAAAATATCTGATAATGAATGCGTATAACGAGAAAACGTATTAAGATTTTATGCATCTGAATTATTATATATGAATTCTGCTTACAAACCGCATCATAATATATTGATATAAAATTGAACTACATGAAAATGTTAATTCATGGGAAACATCTGCTCGGGTTTATTATTACAATAATAACAGGTGCTGCCTGCAAGGGAAGTTCGAAAAATGTTGCGCCGCGCGATTATAGATCCTCTAGTCTTCTTATAAAGTAGACTCGCTTGTGAAAAACGTGCAACGGCAATTTTATCGTGCGACTTATGTCAAAGGATTATGCAGCACATGTTACATGACCGATGATAATTATACGTAATCGGATTAACCAATTGTGAAAACTTTTTTCAGGAAAAAGAAAACTCGTTTGTTCTCGAAGTTACTTAAAGACAACGAAAATGAGCGCATTGAAATTTACACTTATGATTTTATCAATCGCTGGATGCTGGCGACCGCACTCGTGGACATCATTGATCAAACATACACTATATAACGTCTATACGTTATTAGTAATTAGCGTGATGCATGTCTTTACGTTTACGCAGTTTATGGAGATTGTGCTGAATGTCAACAATCCTGAAGACTTTACCGAAATTTTATACACAATGTTGACCATGGTCATCTCATGTTACAAAATACTTCATTTATGGATAAATCATGAGGATTTTGCAGAATTAGTTGAGAATCTAAATAAGGGATTGTTTAGGCCACTCGTACCTGCAGAAATTGAAATTCAACGGAAATTCGACAAATTGATAGAGTAACTACAAAATTGTAACAATTGCGTGTACAATAACAAAATATTTCAAGAATGTGATGATTAAAATATTAAATTTGAGTAAAATGTATTTAAAATAATTGAAGCATCTTTTTGTAAAATTATTCTCAACAAATTTGATGCACTTTGAAAGCCATTATCAAAACTTTACTAGATGCTTCCGTATTGACAATTAAATTATTTGTGCTATAAATATTATATATTTGATAAAATTTATGTAATAAGAGATTAATGTTGTGCGAAATGAACGTAAAATTATTTTCTATATTTCTCTTTTAGGAACCTTGCAATGCACTACACTGTTCTGCTGCAGTCAGTGCTCGCAGGTAATCTCTTTATATCATTAATGACGGATTTCAGAAAGAGGAAATTAACATTTAGAGAATGGGTGCCATATAATTATTCATCGTTTGTGATATTTTGTCTCACTTACACTTATCAATATTTGAGCATAATGGCATGCATTCTCGTCAACCTTTCTTGTGATAGCCTCATTGTCGGTCTGTTACTGCATCTATGCTGCCAAATTACAATCTTAAAATATCGTATAAAATGTATTATAAATAATCCAAATATTCTACGTGACTGCATACGCCATCATCATCATATAATCAAGTTGGTTCTTGTAAGAATTCCATAATGTAAATTTTTTCTTATTTAAAAAAATATGCTTTTAAATTTTAAATATATAAATTTTATTATATTTATCAATGTTACTTTTAATTTATTACTTATTGCAATTTGAAATCTATTATCTTCTCTCTCTATTTTAAAAAATTTTTTAAATAAAATTTTGTATTGCAGCTTTTTTGGCGCAGTTAATTTTAGTGCTTAATGTAAAAATAATTTTTTTTCCAGATATGCACACAAAACTAATGCGAGATTTACGAAGATAATAATGTTTCAATTCGTGACAAGTACATTCGTGGTGTGTTCAAATTTGTTTCAACTTACTAAAACAACTCTGGGCATAAACCACATTTCATTAATAATGTATACATTATGTATATTTATACAAATTTTTATGTATTGCTGGTTCGGAAACAAACTCAAATTGATGGTATGCATGTCTGTTTACTCCATTCAAAGTATTGTAATTACATATGTGAAGATTATTACACGCGTCATTAAAAAAATAAAGTTATATTTCATGAAAATTTATTAAGAAATTTGTAGAGTCTCCAGGTGGTTGATACAATTTTTGAAATGGAATGGATAACATTGAATAATAAAACAAAAAAAAGCCTCTTGATACTTATGAATCGTGCAATGATACCTCTCGAATTTACCAGTGCGCATATTCTTAACATGAATCTCGATTCTTTTGTGGCGGTCAGTATAAAATAAAATATAATACTATATTTCATTTTCTTAGTTATGTTCTTAATTATTATTGTAATAAATTTTTTTTACAAAATTTTTGCTAATGTTTTTTTCTAGAAAGTGTATAATTTATATTAAATAAAATAATATTATCTATAATTTTGTAGATTGTAATATTTATAATAGTTTGATAATTATGAATAACGAAAATATAAATTTCATAAATTTTAATCATAGACTATTATAAAAACTTCAAATAATTTCCGATATATTTATGATTATTGTAGTTGCTTAAAACATCGTACTCTGCTTACAACTTACTAGTACAAATTCAGGAGCAATAATACAAATAGCAAATGCATTAAAGATACATTTGATGCAATTATTAATGTTACACCTCTTAATGTATGTTTAAATGTATATATACAGATGTACGATAATTGGTAATAAATATTTTGAAAAATAAAATACCTTTATATTAGAATAAAACAGTATTTTGACAGTTGTGATAATTCTTATTTTTATAACGTTATTTTTTATTTTATATAAAAATATGTCAGAATAAAATATAAAGCAACTCACCAATATTCACTTTTTTATCTTCAATACCTGTATGCGCAGAATTTGGACGAATTATAAAAAGAATCGTATAGTTTCATTTAAGAAAAAAATGCAACTATATAGCGATGGCATTTGTGGAAAATATAATACCACAAAATATTCGCTATTTTTTCTTTTATCCACATGCTACCAGTCTTATAGATACTCATTTATGATTTCCGTCACTCGTTTATGTTTACATAGTAATCAATGTGGATGTGTGTCGACTTCTACTGAGACAATCAACGAAATATTTTATCATCGAAATATAAAAAAGTAACGATATGATATCAAGTAAATACTGAGATGTTTCATATTTTATTAATACATTTTTATAGAATTTATTTTTTTCTCCATACTTTACTACAATTTCGTCTTGTATTTAGATGTAAAAACATTTCTCTCTTGTTTCTTTGTACGATAAAAATATGGAAGGAATTTTTCTAGTTAATTTGCATGAACGTTAGTTTGAAGGCAATTACTGAAAGTTTGGTATTGAAAAGTACAGTTATTAAATATGCAAGAGAAAGACGAGGAAATATCGTCGACAAAAAATATTGTCCATTATTGGAGAGCAGTGTCGCAAGTCTATAGACATTCCTATAAGTTCACATACTCTCATAAAATTATATTACTTCCCGTACGGTAGATATTCTGTTAGGCTAAATTCTTGAAAAGAACAAATATTGTTTAAAAATTATTTCATAATTGCTAATACTAACATTAGTCACATACGTTGCACAATTGGACACAATTGATCGGTATCGTTTTATCTATTTAAATAAAAGCTGAAAATGCATGTTTTGAAATTAACATTCTCAATCGTCATGTTTGTTGGATGCTTTCGACCACTATCGTGGACATCACTATTTAAACGTACTATTTATACTATCTATAGAATATTCATAATTACTCTTTTATACACTTTTGCATTTTTGCAAATTATGTACATTATTCTGAATGCTGACAATCCCGACGACTTCACTGACACTTTGTATATAATGTTAAATGTATCAGTTTCGGGTTATAAATTGCTTATTATGTGGATGAATTATAAGGACGTTAAAACAATAATCAACAAACTTAACGAGGAACCATTTCAACCCTTGGATGCAGGCGAGTTAGAAATTCGTGAAAAATTTGATAAAATAATACGGTAAATATCTTAATAACAGTCGCACTTTTATTTAACAATAATTTATTCTGAATGTATATTTTAGTTTAGTTACATTTGACAAGATAAATCAGATCATTTACCAAAGCAGATTATTTTTAAATATTTTTGAAAATTAATTCAATTTACACTTACAGTATTTATGAATAAATTAAGATAAATACGAGCCAAACAAATTAATTTTTTAGAATATTATAAAATTTTCAAAAATATATACGTGATCAAAAAGTATCGGGACTGAATTTATTTTAAAAAACCCACAAAACTTACATATTTGAGAAGGGAAATGCAAAGAAAGGCATTGAGTTTCAAATCTGTAAGTTTTGTAGATTTTTTAAATAAATCTAGTCGGGATATTTTTTGATCACACCTTATACACAATATATTGTAAATTGATAACAAAAATATTGTGTATGTGTGTGCGTGTGTGACTAACTTTTTATTTCTTTTTCTAGATTCAACACATTACGATATTCAACTCTGATCGAGATGTCATGGTCATGCAGCGGATTGACGTCGTTACTCGTCGATTTCAGGCACACAAGATTAACGTATAGAGAATGGATACCATACAATTCTTCATCTTACATAGTATTTTGTATTACGTTTGCTCACCAGTTTTTAAGCACGTTCTATTGCGCTACCATCAACGTCGCTTGCGATACTCTTATATGCGGTCTTTTGATGCACGTCTGCTGCCAAATCGAGATCCTGGAATATCGCTTGAAGAAGCTTGTAAAAGATCAAGATACTCTGGGTTATTGTATATATCATCATAACAATATATTTGAGTTAGTTATCTTAGTAACACGATAAAAATATTATAAATTATTGCCGCGTTACATGGAATAAGTATATAAATTATTTTGTTTCCAGATTTTTATCACATAAATATAAAACCGTAAATCTAAGATGTTAGTCAAAGTAGATAAAAAATTTATTATCGATTTTTTATTACTGACCGACTTATATCACCATTCCATTAAAACGCTTTGTGTAAAATTTTACTATTATATGATTAATACTCTTATTTAATTTTTTTATTATTATCTTTTTTTTAATAAAACAGCTTGTTTTCAAATTGATATGCAAATATCACGGAATTATAAAAATAAAAATTTGATTACAGGTTTGCACAATTAATCAATACAAAATTCTCACAAATAATTGGATTTCAGTTTATAACAAGTACATTGATAATATGCTCCAATTTATTTCAACTGAGCAAATCGTCAATAAGCGCGGACTATATTGCATTATTCATATATACATGTTGCATGTTGACAGAAATATTTATATATTGTTGGTTTGGAAACAAAGTCAAATCAAAGGTATAATTATATACTATATTGTAAATAATTAATAACAAACTTTTATGCAAACATAGACACAAAATCCTCAAAAATAAGAAAAAAATTTTTGCATATTAACTTATAGAGTATTGAACTAGCAAATAGTATTTATCAAATGGAATGGCCAGTGCTGAATAACAACATTAAAAAAGATCTTTTAGTAATTATGAAACGTGCGCTGGTGCCCATCGAATTTACTACTGTACACATTATTAGTTTGAATTTGGATTCATTTGTATCGGTTAGTATAGAACATTTTTAGAATAATTTACATGTTCTAGTTTGTGCCAATGAGATCTCACATATTTTATTACATATTTTATTTTTCCAGTTGCTTAAAACATCATACTCGGCTTATAATTTATTAGTACGAATGCAAGAAGAGTAGCTTTGTAATCTTATTTTAAATGCAGTTAATTATTTGTCAACAAAATAAACTGATTATATTATGGCCAATACACATAGAAAGAAATACATCGTGATAGTCCAATATCAAGTTATAGATAGCATGATATAAATTTAAAAAAAGAAACAATATTTCTAGATTAAAATAAATTTTAAAATAACTTCAGCAATTATTCTTTTTAATATTTGTATTTTAAGCCAAAATGTATCAGAATAAAATACAAAATAATTCATACAGTATTCGATATAATATAATTTCAATATTTTTATTATAAGAGAATTTGAAAAAATCGTGAAACAAATCCAATAGTTCCATTAAAAAAATGCAACTGTGTTATTGTACTTACGGAAAATGTACTTAACATTAGAAAGTTATTTTCCGTTTTATCCAACAGCTTAGTAGATATATTTCTTCTTCTTTATTCGTTTCTTTTGCGTACGCAAGAATCAGTGTGGACTATACATTAACTACTAAGCAGAAAACAATAAAAAAAATATTTTGTCTTTATAGTGCGGAGAAATAATCAAATGACATGTATAAAGTAAACATACAGAAATTATTCGCCTTTTATATTCTTTTATATTCTATTGATTAATTTGTGGAAAATTTCTTCTTCTTTTCTATACTGTTTTATAAGTAATTTTTTCTTTTCATCCAGGCGTACTGTATGAAAACAGTACTACTTTTATATAATGAAAATTACATATAAATGAAATCCATACAGTTTTTCCAGACAATTTCTGCAAGGTTAATATTATGAAAATGTAGATACTAAATATGCAGAAGGATAGAAACTATTATTGATGAGAGATATCGTCTACGATCAAAGAATCGCGCGTCACAAGTCTATAGACATTCTTTAGTCATTCTCTTGAAATTATGCTACCTGATCTGACTTCCCGTGCGATAGAAATTCTGTAAGATTATCTATAGAGTAAATAAATATTTTTCAAAGACTTTCTAACTTATTTAAACAATACCGGAGTTGATCATATTTACTGTATAGCTGAATAAAGTTATAAGTTCTTTTTTAACAAACAAAAATTTTAAAATGCAAGTTTTAAAAGTGACATGTGCGATTGTTATGATCGCTGGATGTTTACGACCGTTAACGTGGACGTCTTTGTTTAAACGGACAGTTTACAACATCTACAGATTATACGTAATTAGTATGTTATACTTTTTCTCGATGGCGCAATTAATGGATATTATTTTGAATGTTGATAATGCTGATGACTTTACTAATAATTTGAATATGATGTTGACTTCGTCCGCTGCATGTTATAAAATGTTCATCATGTGGTTAAATTATGACAAGGTTGCAGCATTAATCAGCTGTCTGACTGAAGAACCATTCAAGCCATTAGATCCGGGTGAGATGAGGATTCGCCAGCAATTTAATCAAACAACACGGTAAATATATTTTAATTCATGCATATCTGATTTATTTGACATTGTTTTGCTTTAAATACCTTAATTGCAGCACTACGTCTGATAGAAATATATTTAACCCTTAGTCCCGACGGTTCTTTTCGGCACCTTTAATCCCGACTCATGGGTCGTTTGCGTCTTTGCGTTATTTGGATCAGTAAAAACGCTTTAAAAAATCTGAAAAAATTCATGGAGTTTCTTTCAACTTTCAACCTTGAAGTTCCAATCATAATATTTCAATAAAAATTATTTTTTTAGGTAGGGGATATGGCGCGTTCCGTACCCGTTTTCAAAAATTACAGCACTTTGAAATTTCGCTTGGGTCGAAAACGACCCATGAGTCGGGACTAAGGGTTAAAACTGTAACTTTCAAGAAATTTGTTTTTGCCAATTAAAAATTTTATATTAAAGAAATTGCAAATAAAAATTTGTAACAAATCTATAAAAATTATATTTTTTAATTTACAATAAAATGAAACTTAGCAGTGCTTTACCATTTGATAAATATTATCTGTTATAAAGAATAAACACAAAAATATCTCGTATTTTGAAACTTCCATTAGACGTATATAACAATCTCTTTAGCGACTTTTTAGGAACAATACCTTGCGTTACACGATCCTGATCGAAACGACGTGCTCGTTTATCGCTTTGATGTCGTTGTTAACTGATTTTCGGCACAGAAGATTAACATATAGAGAATGGGTACCGTACAATTATTCGTCTCACATGGCGTTTTGTTTTACGTACGCTCAGCAAATGATAAGCACCTTCCATTGTGCCACTGTAAATGTAGCTTGCGATACCCTCATATGCGGGTTTTTAACGCACGTGTGTTGTCAGCTCGAGATCTTGGAATATCGCTTGAAGAGACTCTCGAATAATAATGTTACTCTGGGCTATTGCATTCGTCATCATAATCGAATTTTTGAGTTAGTATCACATTATATTTAAAAAATTGTATATTATTTGAACCACTTGAAAGCCAAACTGACTAACTCCATCAATTTATTTTATTTATAAAAAGTTAAGCACCAATTGTATGCTTTAGTAAAATTGGAAAATTTACAAAAAATGGAGCTAATTGATTTGACTTCTGAGCGACTCATTTAGCATTATTGTTATATATATAAGTTATAAAAGTTATATTGTTTTTATTTTTATTTTCTCATAATCGTAAAAGAAAAAATCTGAAATTTTATATTACGTTATATCAAATTAACATTAGATATTATAAAATTTTAAAATGTGCAGTGTTGTTATCGATTTTCACCATTAACGGCTGACTTAGCAATATTTCTATTAATAATTGCTTTAAAAAATATTTTGTTGAATTATATTATATATGATTATTCTTGATTATTCTTTATAATTTTTAGTATTGCAATAAATAATTGTCTTTTATCTGTAGTTTACAGTGCTACAAATTCTATTGACTTTGCGTAAAAATAAGATTCTAAAAGCAAAATCTCGATTGCAGATTTGCGAAGTTGGTGAACATAAGATTTTCACTAATAATCGGATTTCAATTTATGGCGAGTATGATGGTAATTTGCTCCAATTTGTATCAATTGACCAAATCGGCTCTTAGTCCGGATCATGTTCCATTGATTATGTACACAAGTTGCATGCTGACGCAAATATTTATTTATTGTTGGTTTGGAAATAAGGTTAAAACAAAGGTACGTTCAATAAAATATGGACTACTATTGTGTTAAGAACTACAGAGAAAATATTTTAATATTATTTTGCAGAGTGTTAAAGTAGTGGATAGTATTTTTCAAATGGAATGGTCAATCTTAAACAACAGCATTAAAAAGAGCCTCTTCGTAATCATGCAACGTGCATTGATACCCATCGAAATTTCTACCGCGTACATATTGACTTTGAATTTGGATTCTTTCGTATCGGTTAGTAAAAAAAATTTATTTGAATCATATAATATGCGATCATAAAACTTCATTGTTTCTTATTTTATTATATTTAGATTTGATAAAAATTATTGTTTAAATAAGCTTATTGAGTTTTATAAATGTGCTTATATAAATACGTATATTATCAATAATCTATTTATAAATATTAGTGTATTTATAGTAAATTAAATCTTAAATATTTTTTATTATTTCAGTTGTTAAAAACATCATATTCCGCTTACAACTTACTGGTACAAGTGTAAACATTTATTTTGCTTTCTATTTCTTTTTGTTTTTGATAAAACTAATTATTAACACAATTAAGCTTGTATCTTGGAAAAAATGTTTTGCGATTAAAATAATAAAAGTATTCATTTTAACAATATAATATTACGTACAGCAATAATGCAGTCCTTATATGCAGAGGGGGTTTGGTGAAAAATATTAAAAAATATACACGAGATACATGTACCTCAATGACATTTCAATAGCGCGACGTAGATACATAGTATCATAAAAATGATGGTAGTACAATAATTTGTAAGCGTGTCTATAGACTAGTTACATTAACATTTCATACAGATAAATTATTGCTTCTGATTCATTAACTAATATTCAAAGAATTGATTGTCGTATATTCTGTTGTATTACAGAACAGCTTGTCAGTATTGCAAATAGCTGTAAATAAAATATTTTATAATGGATGTATTAAAAGAAACCATATCGAAGTATCTCAGATATACTCCTCAACTACTGATCTATTGATGACAATTTATTTTTCCATATATCTGCATACTTTTGTCTCACTGTTTTCCAACAAAATAACAGCATATTACGTAATTTTATAATAAAGATATTTTAAAAGAAAGATTCTCGACCTATGAAAGTATTACTTGACAAAAGATACTGTGTGTTACTGTAAGTCTCTTATTGCGATAATAATACAGATAATTTGAGAGAAAAGTCCGATGGAAAATATTATTGAGTTGGGAGGCTATAGATATTATAAGATTGTCGCTCTCTCGTAACATTATTCAACTCGTCATATAACGAACAGCAAATATTTCTTCAAATCTTTCGCAGTATCCAACAAACTTCTAAAGCAAATCGCTCGGAACATTTTCGTAAGTTCTTCATGTAAAAAGTTGCATAAATTAAAATTAAATATTTTAAATAACAATAGAATGCATTAATGTATATTTTTTAAAATAAATTTTATTATTTTTATTAAATCGTTAGCTTTGAACCTAATTATTAACAATTTTTAGCACACATAGTGTGCGGAAAATAGTGAATAAGTAAATACGTCAATTGACACAGTGATATATGTTAAACAAGTGGATATTGGGAAACAATGTGCGGAGCAGGAGCGAAATGCAGAAGAGAATTGAAACGCGAGAAAAAAGCGAAATGCCTGTATTAAAATTTACGCTCACAGTTTTGGCGTTAGCAGGATGTTGGCAACCAACATCATGGACATCAATATTTAGACATATTATATATAATGCTTACACGGTGTTAATAGTTTTCACATTATACACATTTTCAATGACCCAACTTTTAGAGCTCATATTGAACGTTAACGATGCTGACACAATTGGCGATGCTTTGTTTAACATTATAATTTCGCTTCTAGCGTGCTACAAGACAATTATTATGCGAATGAATAATGACGGCATTAGAATGTTAATTAATAATCTTACAGAAATTCCATTCAAGCCGTTGGATTTGAACGAAATCATTATTCGAGAGAAATTTGACAAGAGAATAACGTAAGTATTGCTTATAGCATTTTCTTTGCAAAAGCGATATATTGTTTGTAAAAGTAAATTTGCTAAAATAAGTACTATTAATTTGTTTAGATTTATGCTGTAGAGAATTTCATGTTTTTATATATTCAATATCTTAATATATAACATGTAATATAATTATTTTTAATAAATGTCAAACAATAATTAATAAAAAAAAACAATTTTCCAAAACAAATAAAAATTGCAGTTCTGATTTTATAGGAATAATACAATAATGTACATAATTCTCATCGCAATCAGCGCTTTTTATATGATTTTGCTCTCTTTTCTCACGGATTTCAAGAATGGAGCATTAATGTACAAGGCATGGCTACCGTTTGATTATACAATTTCTGCGTTATTTTATCTCGCATACCTTCATCAAATATTGAGTTTTATATTTATCGGACTTGTTCATCCCGGCACTGACAATTTTATTTGCGGACTATTGTTGCATGCTTGCTGTCAACTTGAGATATTAGAATATCGGATAACAAACATCGCGAATGGTCGAGAAAGCCTGCGTAATTGTGTACGTCATCACTTATGTATATTTGAGTAAGTTTTTTAAATTAATTTTACTGCTATTAAATTATAGAAATATTTATTTCAATTTTCGTAAGAAGCTACAAAAATAAAAAAGTATTTTATTTTTTATTATAAGAGTATATAAAATAAAATATCATAATTTTCTTTAAAAATTAAGAACCTATTTTTATTAAACAAGTACATTATAATATATTTAATTACATATTTAAAATATGGCATAAAAATATATATAAATCTATTTATTGATTTAATATCGTAGAAAATCGGTTATTAAAAATTATTATTAAAGGCAGATTGTTGAAAATATTCTATATAATTTTCAGATATGCGTACACGCTGAACGAAAGGTTTTCCAGGATAATCCCTGGTGAATTTATAATGATTATGGTAGTAACGTGTTACGAGTTAATTCACATGGCCACGACATCATCATCTAACATTACTTACCTACAGGATATGATGGCTGTAGCTTGTACACTGGCTGCGATTTTTTATTACTGCTGGTTTGGTAATGAAATTAAGCACAAGGTAGTTTTTTTCCTCATTTTATTTTTACTGATGAGTTTATCTGAAAAATATTTAAAAATCTGTTTAAAAAGAACCACCAAACAGAAATTCTTCTGTTAAGCGCGCAATGCTCTGTCACAATTATAATTCAAATAATTTGCAAAGGATCAAAATTCTCATTTTTAAATATTCTTTAATTTAAATAATTTTTATTTTACAACTATAAATTGCTCCTGAAGAGCCTCGCGCATTTTTGTTACATGCATTTCGCGATTCATTGCTAAGACGCTAGTGGTGAGAAAATCAATGGGCGTCTACTTTGAAAATTGGCTGAAAAAGTTGCAACTAATTCACAGCTCTGATATAAAATTTTATCATGACTTTATCCGTAGAGTCTGCAATTATCGGATAATATTTGGTGTAACATGGAATGGACTATACTTAGCGACAACGTAAAGAAAGGTCTTATAATGATCATGAATCGTGCGATGATACCAATTGAATTTAGCAGCTCGCATCTTATGCCAATGAATCTTGATTCTTTTGTAATGGTTCGTATAACACAAATTACCTTTTTCCACAAATATTTAATTTGTTTAATAAATTTCATTATTAATTGCATAATTATTATAGGTGTTTAAAACGTCATATTCACTGTTCAATGTAATGAAACAATCACAGAAGCAATAATGTAATACAAAACTGGAAATTGTTATTTACATGTTATTTATATGTTTCCAAAGTTCTCTTGGAATTTTCTTTTAAATTCTGTAATTTATCAATTTTTGTCTGTAACACTATAGCTTTTCAATATAACTCCCATTTAACTATACACTTGTCACGGATATCAGAAAGGAAAACTTGACGTACAGAGCGTGGCTTCCGTTTGATTAAACATTGATATCGATGCCTGCTATATCAATGGTAATTTTTGCACAATATTATTTTAATTACTGTAAAAGAATTGTTATATGTCACTATAGTAGTGTTCTCACAATTCAGATCCTCTTCCATGTTCCTTACGTTTTCTCTACAATCGCAAACAGAAATCGGAATGCAAAACGTGATACGTTATGACAAGTCGGATAGTGAATAGCGACTGTTATAAATTAACCATTTTGTAAGAAATGTACATTATATAGCTTTCATGAATACTACATAAAGGCAATTTACGTCTGATATTTCATATTGATGAATCTCTGAAGAAATATCTGGTTTATCTTACCTTATTTTATAGTAATATTATTTCCATCTCATCGCATGGCAAAAGTTCCAGCTAAATGCGTCACTTATGAAAATAATATTTCTCGTTGTCGTAAGAGTGATATCGTAGCAATAACATAGATAGATAAGAAAGGGTTTAGTGAATAATATTTCTGTCACAAAATCGTGTCGCGAAGCTATAGACATTCTGGGCATATCTCATTCCCTTGTAAAGTGGATTTACTTAACATCATTTATGTATTATTATTTTTTTTAAGATCTACTTAAAACATTTGAAGATGGTTATGATAAACATTTAAAAGCGATATCAAATAATTGACATTGCAAATTAATTATATAAAAGCGCCTTGTAAGTACAATAAATATTCACACATCAACAAGTTCGACATTTATAAATAAAATTATATTAGAATTTTCCAAAATTGACGCTTTGCATAATAAGATTTAAATAACTTGGAAACTGTATTCTACTATAAACATTTATCTACAAGTTTTTTCAGTATCTGACATTCAACATTTTAATAATTTAACTTTTAAATTTGTTTAATTTAACTTTTAAATTTATTTAATTTAAATCTATCTAAAAAATTTATAAAAATTATATATAAAAAGTTTGATAAATAAAAATCTGTTGCAATATATTTTAACACATACATATATTTTATTTAATATTTCTATAAAATTTTTTTGCCTTTGTTAATTCAATTATACATGAGATATTTTTTACAAATTATGATAAATAGATGTAACATTAAAAATAATTTATATAGGCAAAATTAAATTAAAAAGTTTAAATGCACGTGCTAAAATTTACACTTTTACTCTGCGCGATCGCTGGATGCTGGCAGCCACTTTCATGGACATCACTGTCTAAACATGTAATATATAATGTTTATCGAACATTATTAATCTGCATAGCATCCGCATTTGGGATATCTCAATTTATGAACATTATATTTAATATTGATGATTTCAATGAAATCAGTGAGAGCCTGTACATGACGTTAGCAGTGTTGATCGCGATATATAAAATAATTACGATGTGGATAATCGATAAAAGTGTTATAAGGATAATTAATGCTCTTACGGAAAAATCTTTCAAATCGAGAGAATCATGCGAAGTAATGCTTCGACAAAAATATGAGAAAATGATAAAGTAAGTGCTATATTCATTACATTATATAAGTAAATTAAATGCAATCAGTCATTCAGCCAATAATAAATTTCCAAATTATATTTCGTAATTATGATATTCATGTTATTAAATACATTAAAGCAATATTTTGATATAATATTTTGTTATTTAGACTTGTCCATTTTATTGCGCAATAGATTAATATTACTATTATTGTTTGGCATAATTAATTTTTTTTTTCTAAACATAATTATTTCACATTTTTTCATGTGAAGATTATTCGTATCTCACAATGTCATAAATACAGAATAAAAAATATGTGAGTGATATATTGAGCTTTTTTGTTAAAAATAAATAAATAGAACAATTTCCTTGACAATTAAAATAATATAATTGATAAAAATTGTGTTTTATAGGAAATATGCAGTGTGGTATTATTTGCTTGTCCAGATAACGGTCTTATGTATAATTGTAAATGCTGTCTTCATGGATCTAAGGAAGGGAAACTTAACGTATAGAGCGTGGTTCCCATTCGATTACACGCCACCAACTATATTCTATTTGGTGTTTACTCATCAAATGGTAGGCATGTCGATCACTGCAGTCATGAATGTTGCCTGCGACAGCCTGATATTTGGACTCCTGCAGCAGATTTGCTATCAGATTGAGATTCTAGAATACAGATTGACGAAAATCTCGCTCGGTCAACATATCTTCCGTGATTGTGTACGTCACCACAACCATATATATGAGTTAGTTTTCAAAGCAATTCTGTCATTATAAAAATTTGCATGCTCACGCACGTGCACATTTTCTTTGTAGAGAAAATTTTCTTTTCAAAAATCTCTCTTAAAAAACCGATATATTTCCATAGCATCGAAATTCATCGTTGCTTTTCGCGATGCCGATTTGTTCTTTCGTTCATTAGCAGTTCATATCGTGAGCGATTGTCAAGTTGGCTGTGTTCCAATATACACTGCCAATGCTGAAATGTTTATGGTGTACGCACTGTAAACTATAAATTTTAGTACTGGCAGAATATATCGAAACACATCTTGCATACTTCGACAGTTGTTATCTTGAAAAGGTTAATAAAAGAATAAAAGGAGTAAAAAGAAAAAATGGTGCGCGTGTAACGCGCGCCTAGTAATAAAAAGAATATTAATCTGTTGATGTATTAAATTTTTTACACTTTCTATAAAAAAATAATCAATTTTTTTTTAGAAAATTAAAATATTGTGAAATTTTTTTACTTTAAAAAAAAAGTACGATAGTTTTAGCAAGATAAAAATTAAAAAATTAATTATTTATTAAACAGAAAATAAGATATAATACATATTTAATTAATAAATAATTTTATAAACTATGCAAAAAACTAAAATTTTCTATCTAATCGCAGGTATGCGTGTACGGTAAATCACCGTTTCGCTCCATTAATTGCTCTCCAGTTTGCAGTAAGCATGCTAGTGGTGTGTGCTAATTTATATAAAATAGCTGCAATGAAAATTAATGCAGGATCTGTTGTATTAATATTATATACGGCCTGCATGTTGTCGCAAATCTTCATTTACTGCTGGTTTGGAAATGAACTTAAATTGAAAGTAATAATTTACATTATTTTTTTAAACTTTATTTGAATTTTAGATATAAATTTTTTTTTCTACAACTAAAAAAATAATTATTTAAGAAATTTGGTCAAATTAATTAAATGTGCTATCAATCTGCTAACATTACTAACATTTTGCTTACTCGATGATTATATATTTATTTGCAGAGTATTGATTTAGCAAATAACATATACAATATGGACTGGTATACGCTTGACACCAATAGCAAAAAAGGTCTTCTATTTATTATGAAACGTGCGATGGTTCCCATTGAATTTAATAGTGCAATTATCATTACGTTGAATCTTAATTCATTTGTGTCTGTCAGTATCAATTAATTGTAGAAATAAGAATTGAATATTTAAAATAATATTATGTGCATCCGCAATTTTTTACAGTTGCTGAAATCATCATATTCGGCTTACAATGTGTTGAAAACAGCACAGTAAAAACGAAGAAAAGAAAACTGATGAATAAAAACTGTTATTGCTTACATATCGATCACGAAGACATGTGTCATACAAGGTATGTCAAAACACAATAATAAATACATCAATATATTAATATTAACTTTTATTAGCAGATTTTAAAGAATCTATAATATGTCTTGATGATTTATGCCGAAAGATCTAATAGCGAGTTAAAACACGATATTGTAAGTTCACATTAGTAAAGATATATAAATAGAACTGTTATAAACATTTTTGATATTTCCGTTATTTTATACTCCTTCTTCGGCTATAAATATGGTTTGTGACAAAGCTATTAGATAACATATTATTTCAAATAGCTTATTGCACACATAGACTGGATATTACAATAAGTAACACAGCAGAGAAAAGTGATTGTATGACTAAATGCATAAATGGAAAAAGTTTAGTTCCGATTTAAATAAAAAGAAAAAGTTAAAACTTCTTTCTTACCTATTTATGTATACATCAAAGAAAGAACAGCAAAATACGAGATATCATTCTAACGGCAAGTTGTGGACAATATGAGAAATATAAGAAAAAATATGCGGCTGTGTAACCGAGCGTATGGACTCGGTTATTACCGATATTAAGATTTCATAGATGTAGATCACAGCTAATGATTCATTACACAACATCAGAGGTATTCATTTCACAAAATAAGAGACAGTAAAAATATTTTGTAATGGACATACGATGAAAAAGCTACATTGAAATATCGGAGAAATGCATGATTGAGGACAAAGGATTTTATTATTCCGTATATATATATATATCTTCCCTCTATTTCGTTATCCGCAGAAATTGGCATACAATAACTATTTTATATAATCTTCTAATAAGGAATGTATATTGAAGCAATATTGCATCTCAATTTATGAAAGTATTATTTCGCTATTGTGATGGCAGTGGAAATAGATATGTGTGTGTATATGCGCGATACGACGAAGAGTGTTCGATGAGACAATTGTGTTATCTATAGACATTTTATCTATTGTCACGGACATTAAAGAGAGATAAAGGTTTAATAAAATTATATTTTCGAGAATTATGTAAGCGGTGTAAGTTAGTTCCGACAATATATAGATTATAGACAGTTGAATGCAGACGTACGTAATTAATGGTGTAAATTGATTGAAAAATCTCTGTAAGTGCATTATACATATAATAAAAAAGTTTAATATTATAATAAAAAGATTTTTCTGAGCTACTTTTAAAATAATTTCACTTAGAAAATTTTTTTTATAATTTTTGCTGTTTCATATTCAATCTTCTTAATTAAATCTGAAATTGAAATACTTTTCAAGCAATATATATAAAATATGGTTTTCTTAAACAAATTTTAAAGTGACACATTACTCCAACTTTTTTTATATTCTTTTAAATGGTATTTGCTTTTATATAACTTTTAC